CATGCATAGATCTGGCTCCCATCTAACCCACACTTCCAGAGCTGAGAGGAATAGTCAAATATACCCTCATTGGCTATTTTACAGGTGTGCTCTGCGGGGTTAAATCATGAAAACATGAATGTTTTGTAATCTCACAAACTATTTTGAATTTAGCAAAAGTAAGTGGCAGATGATCGAACAACATGAATTACCATGAATCAAAAACTGCTATTCTTCTTTTTTTAATGTAATACTGCAGTGTTTATTATGAACTATTTTTGTTATTTTAATTCATGTGCCCTTATAATCTATAATAAAAATAACTTCCCCTCAGTGACTTCTCTGATAAGGGCTCTGTCCGAAATCTTAAAATTTCTGTCTTTGGAGGATGCATAACAAGGAAGGCATCAAGGCTCGTCCAAACGTGCCTTTACTGTTACTGTTACTATTTGCTGCTATTATGCTGTTATTGTTGTATTTGTCATTTTCAGTTATTTGTCTTTTTGCTCATTATTTGTTCATTGTTACCGTTATTGTGGTTTGTGATTTTAAAATTGCAGAAAGATATGTGAAAATCATTGTTGAACAACACCTTTTATTGCTCCGCCCCCAAAATGCACGAACATTCAATGCAAGAGTAGATGTATCTTGAAGAGAAGCAAAATAAAGCTTTGTAAAAAAGATTATGAAAAGCAGACTGGAAAAGATTGTACTTGTGGAGTAGATGATGCAGTACAGTAAATAACAGTGTCATCGACATTAAAATGATACTTAGCATTCGATAGATTATCGGAAAATTCGTTTATATAACTTGAGAATAATATGGGCCCTAGTACTGAGCCTTGAGGAACCCCCTTGGAAATGGGCAAAACGGAAGAGAAAGAGCCAGCCATCTGAACAATCTACTGAATGCTTAGACAGGCCAATCCTCACTAGACTATTCACAAGAATGCAGAGATCAACTTTATCAAAAGGTTTTGAAAGATCTATGAACAGTGGAGCACATATGTTCCTATTATCCAGTGCCCCAACAATATCATTTATCGCTTTCAATGCTGCAGATATGGTGCTATGTTGTTTCCTAAACCCAGATTGAAAAGGGGATAAGATATAATTTGCATTTAAAAATTCCTTTAGCTGCTCACCATCCAAGCGTTCAAGGAGCTTGGCTAAAATACACAGATTTAATAGGAATAGGCCTATAGTTTAAAAAAGAGGGATTACCACGACTAAAATAGAGGGGGACCACTACCCCCTTTTAGTAGTCGTGTAACATGGGCTGACTTCCATACTTTAAGGATGCCATTTTTAACAATTGTTAAATTAAAGATATAAGATAAAGGCTCTGCAATGAAGTCAACTGCTAACTTTAGAACGATAGGATCTAAATTATCAAGACCAGCAGACCTTTCTGTCTAGTTCCTGAGGAGCTTTATGAACTTTGACAATTGATTAAGGAGAATTATAAAATAGTTTGTCAGGAGGTAAACATGGGTCAGAGGGGTGCTGGAACCAGAAGAAGCAGGGCATAAGGATCCTGAAGAAATAAAGTGCTCATTAAAGCAAGCTAACATTGTTGGTTTATCAGTCACCTTGCCTGAATCAATCATAACATGACGGGGTAGTTCACTACGACTAATGTTTCCAAAGAAGGCTTTAACAATTTTCCATAACTTGCTTAGATTTTTTTTGTAGTTTCACTAAGGAAATACTCTGATTTTTACTTTTTAAGGAGAGATGTAAACCTATTCCTCAATTGGGGAAAACAGACCCAATCCGTAACTCACTACCAGAGAGTATAAGAAGGAGGGCAACTAACTATAACTGTAACTGGACAGTGTTACTTTTCTATAAAAACAGCAGTCTGGTCAAGAAGTAAGATAAAAAGAAAAACATTGAAACCAATCATGTAGTCCAAATAACTTGAGGACTAATGATAAAAGCACCATGTTGAGTCTTTGCTGCTATAGCAGAACCAAGGAAAAAAAACGTAGAATGTCACTCCAGTTTATCAATCTAAGCCAGATTCTCCCTCTCAGATCCAACCGTCCAACCGAAGCCACAGTGTAAGCAGGAAGAGTTCTCTCTTTTACAAACTGCAATCCGATTAAAGATTATGAGGGAATATGAATGAAAAAAGAACAACAATGATGTGCATGTATAAATAATTTATAATACATTTTTTTTTAATATTGCATAAAAATCTATCAATTTTGATTTCATGGTGACTTGAAGTCTAAACAACTTCCACATCAAGCTGATGCAACATAAAATTTTAAGACATCTTTTTTTGTATGTGACTGAGGTTGCTGTGTTGTTTGGTAATGGTCCAAACCATAGGTAGGAGGTACGGTACAGAAGGCTATTTTGGCACATTGTACTGTGTTGACAGAGAGAGTTATACATGCTGCAGGAATTAACAACCCGGTCTCTGTGTTAGAATTAACTGAAGTTAAGCTCTGCCAAGGGCTGTATATGGTATAAACAATGACAGTTGAGAATTGACAATTGTTGTGAAATGATGCACAGCAACATAAAACTATATGGAGTGATAAAACCATGTGAGGAGAAACAAATGAAATGGTGTGTAAATGACCAGATTTAATGGGTTTTATTTTTTTTTTTTAAACTTTGAGTAAAGTAAACTTTTGAATTCCGAGAACCAGTGAGACAAAAGTATAAGAATTATGTACATATTTATGTCATTATGTACATTAATGGAATTTTCGTGGTTCACTGATCACAGCATATGACTAAATGTGAATGTTAAATAGCCTTATCATGAACATAAAAATGTGTTGTTCAATTATTGAAACATTAAATCTATTGTATGGAAGAGAGAGGCCGCACTTTGCATATACCGTTTTATTATACTTATTTTATTGTGTATAATAAAACTGTATATGCAAAGTGCGGCCTCTCTCTTCCATACATGCACTATCATTATTAGGCCAGCACTCTTAAAATAAATTGAAGTATAAACTTTGAGTGAAGCCTGCTCCAACCTCCATTTAAACATTAAATCTATTAACATTAACAGTTCTTATAAATATTGGTTACTTACAACTGTACCATCAAAAAAAAAAAAACTCATCTATTTTCGAAATGCATGTTATATATCTTATTACGAACAATTAACCTGTGTTTTATTTATTTATTTGAAAGTTTTGACCTTATGTTTAATCAAAATGTCATAACTGGGACTTACGGAAAGAAAATTATTTCTGATGATATATTCCGGGCTTATATCCTTAAAGTGTTAGCTAAAACTGTAAAAGCTGGTATTAATTACTCAACCTCTTGTCGTTCCAAAAGGTTCCTTCGTCCAAGACTTTTGTTCATCTTCGGAACACAAATTAAGATAGTTTTATATCTTATATATTTTATATGTCCCCCTCTTGCTGCAAAGATTGGCACTTTCAAGGCCCAAAAAGGTAGTAAAGACATCATTAGTCCATAGTTCATGTGACTACAGTGATTCAACCTTAATTTAATGAAGCAACGAGAATAGTTTTTGTGTACAAAAAACAACAACAAAAATAACAAATTAAACTTTTTATAGTTGTTCACATATAAGAGTGCGCTTCAAGGTTCTAAAGTATGAATAAAGTCACAAAAATGTATTCTCGTCGCTTCATAAAATCCCACCCTTGCAAGTTCTCCTTTATTTGCCTCCACATTTGAGTGCCACACCCACATCTCATCATTCAATCAGCTACTGATGCATATATAAAGTTTTTTTGTTTTTTGGCATCGAATCAGCACAGAATTGTTCTTTATAGTGGAAAAAGATTTTCTAGATCAGGGGTTTTCAATCTTTTAGATGCCATGGACCTCCCATCCTAAAATCGAAAAGGAAGCTATATATTATCATGTATAAAGAAAACATTTATACTGTGAAAATGTATACTGTTAAACAAATTATACAGCAAAAATTAATATTAAAAATGCATAAAATACTAGTATTTGGAAAAATATTTAGATCTTCTATGGCATCACTGCAAAAACTCCCTTTTGGAACTTTTTTTAATAGCGTAGAATCAAGCCCCCGTCCTGTTTTTTTTTTTCTTACATCACAACACAGAAGAAAATATCACTACTTCTGTTTCATCGCAACTTGTATGTTGCCACAGATTTGATGTCACAAACCTTGCAAACTTTGGGGAAAACAAAATCTCCTCAGTTCAAAGTAAAAAAAAAAATTACCAAGGAAAAGCCTGTGTTTGAATACCAAAGTAAGTGGGAGGATGCCGAGTTTTGTGGATCACAGCAACCCGCTCTTTAGGGAATGCATTTGGTAATTGAGCTTATAAATAACAGCAGGTGGTCCTTGCATCTCGAAAACTCTGGAGGCAAATCTGTTGTCAGGGATAATTATAGAGATGGAGAATCAGTACAGACAAAAGCACCCGTTTCTGACTGCACCTGTCAACACACAAGAGACTCCAGACATCCTTTAAAGACGTCTTCCGTCAGACTCATGATATTACCTGTCTTAATGTCTCAGCTTTAGTCTCGGCACACCCATGGACCGCCCACAGACTCTACGCTGACCTTCTAATACAATACTGGAATGCATTGTCTTGATTTGGAAAGCTGACATTACATAAAGTTTGCTTTTTTATGGCTGTCAAATTTCTGTGATCCACAAAATGTCTCATCCTCCAATGACTTGCAATGTTACCTGTGCAGTGTCACCTTCCTCCGCATTCCTGGATTCACAATACAAGGAATCTGATTCACAACTTGGGAATATAACCTCAGGCACGGCAACATGACTTTCAGAATGGCAGAGTGAAAGGATACGGGATACAATGAAGCAGCTTTAACATGTTGCCGCCAAAAAGTAGCTGATGTGCCTGCAGGTAAGGGCAACCCTTCACAGAAATGCAGCGTAGAGTTACGAAGACAGTGAGAAAGAACTCGCTTCTTGAACTAATTCCTCATTTGTTATATAGTTTCTGCCTTTAGCTACAATCAGTGCTCTCCATTTCAAAATAATACAAACCAGCATATGTAAATTACTTAATTTATTGGATAAATGTGTATTTACCAGTTTAAAAACTATTATATAAAAATAGATGTAATTCTATTCAAAAACTAATATATATGAAATGCAAATATTTGGTTCAGTTTTCAACTTTTGTCAGTCAAATGTAGTCGTACACATCATAGCTTTTTGTAATCAGGATATTTGTACAAAACATATTCAAAAAAGTGCATACACACACACATATATGCATATAGTTATGCATGGTCAAAAAAGAATAAGAATAACAGCTGTACATCATTGCAAGTTTATAGTCCCTTTCCTTCAATGAGCACAGGATTGCTGCCGCTACTCATTTTTAGGATTGAGCTTTGAATTTTTACTTTTACTTTTTCTCTTCTTGGGGTTCTGAGGATCCTTTGAGGGACTCTGAGGTGCATGAAAGGACTCGTTGTGTTGGCGTGTGTATCTCTTGCACGTGCAGGATGTGACGGCGGTGATCTTGTAGGTGCGTGTGCTGCCGTCCTGGCACTGGAGTTTAATGCGCTGGGTGCGTGTGCGGTCCGTGACACAGCGCCACTCCTGGACATCACGTCTGCTCCAGTAGTGACCTCCACCGATCCAGTTGGGAAGCAAGTGGGTGGGTAGACATTCTCCGGCACACACTAACTCTTTCACAGGATTCAGGCTTGTACACTGGCCGTCAGATATGTATTTAGTGGACCTCAGCTCCCTGCAACCGACCTGGTGCTGTTCTGCAAAATAAATTTCATGCTTTAGAAATCAGTGGATGGATAAGGAATTATCATAAAATGTTACATGTTACTATTACAGTAATATATATCCTTGACTGAAAGTTTTGATTAGCTTTAGGTTTGAAGGTTAAAGAGACATACAGATAGATAGATAGATAGATAGATAGATAGATAGATAGATAGATAGATAGATAGATAGATAGATAGATAGATAGATAGATAGATAGATAGATAGATAGATAGATAGATAGATAGATAGATAATGTAGTTTAAGTGGAAATTACTTAAACATCCAAGTTGACTGTACTTAAAAATCTAAGGCAAAACTTAGACAGATAGATAGATAGATAGATAGATAGATAGATAGATAGATAGATAGATAGATAGATAGATAGATAGATAGATAGATAGATAGATAGATAGATAGATAATCTAGATAGATAATCTAGATAGATTGACTGTAAAAAGGTATATGATAAACAAATTATGCTTTTACATTGCTTTAACTCATCAAAATAAGCAATTTTCAACTTTTTTGTTATACAAGAATCAACAAGCCTCCTTTTCAAAGTAAATTTAATGTAATTTAAATGAAAATGACTTAAAAATTCAAGTTTAAAATTTGTAGACTCAATTTGTAGACTCATAAGTATATCATAAACACAAGAGAAAACACGCACCTTTTTGGTCTCGGCTCTCCGTTCGTCTTCCTCCGTTGCGTGCTCGATTTAAAGAGGCGTTGTTCGGAGTCTCGTGAGGTGATGCGACCATGTGCCCATACAACTCTTCAGTGGCATCATTTTTGAAAGCATGACAGCTTTTCATCAGAAAACAGAGCAGAAACAGCAGCTGGTATTCGCATGTGTTCCTGGGCATTGCAAAGCAGTTCGGTTCAGTGTCTCTTTGAAAATTCAGAGAATGAGTATACCTGTTTACTCGTGTATGTTTATATACCCGCCCATTTTGAACAGCAGCAGTGAGTGGAATATTGAAGCGTGCTGGAAATGGGCGTGTTGGAGGCACGCCCACCTGCAGCAACATCATTCTGCAATATATATGCACGTGAAAAATGATCTTGATGTGAGCCAATCGTCGTAGAAACATGATACGAAATAATTTATTAAATTAAAAAATTAAATTAAATAAATAACTAGGATGAACTACATTAATAAGATTAATAAATACGAAGTAGGCTATGTCTTAGTTCATGCTAACTAAAGTAGTTAACTAATGTTAATGGTTCTACATTATTTTACAATACGTGCACACTTAGTTACAGTGTACTTTAGTACAGGTTAGGATCAGTGTGGGTTATTACCCAGTTATTGTAATTACTATAATACGTGCATAGTATGTACATGGGGAATGGGACTGTAAAATAAAGTGCTACCATTAACTAATGAAACCTTGTTGTAAAGTGTTACCAATAAATAAATATTGTATCCAGACAAATTTATTTATTTTGTTATCTGTTTATTCATTCATCTTTAAATGTATGGTTATGAAACCAATCAAACTGCATTTATACATTACATTTGGTCTAAAACCACCAACTTAAATGGCTGACCCAACTAACCAAAACCCCTTTATTATGTAATTTTTGAGGATCTATTCAGTCTGACTGACTTTTAAATATTACTTTCAAACTGTTATATTAGTTTTATTAGATTATATATATTAGCCTAAAAGTACAACAACAACAAAATGCAGATTACACTAAGACAGCATTTTAAAAACAATTGCTTGTTTTGAACATTCAGACATTTGAACACTTCACTCCAATCATAAAAGTAGAATTACATTTTTTAAAACAAAGATCAATTTTTGGATAACATTTTCTTGAATTTCCGTGACCCCACAGAGGACAAGTGGTTTGGAAAATGGATGGAAGGATTTTCTTGAATTAAGTTTTATTCAATTTTCATATTTCGCTTCATATTTATTGTATTCTCCAATTTTGACAATGAATTGTTTAATTATGCAGCATGCGATTATTTCTTTTCTTTTTTTTTTTTACTAATGCAAACATTATTTGAGTCTTTTAGTCTTGGTTCTAGAAAATAGGTAACATCTATTGTGAACCTCAAGTGATACCTTCCTTTCACGCAAATGAATGCAAGCTTAAACTGAATGTAAACTCTATACTGCAACACTCTCAAACATGTGATGAGGATGTTGCTCTCTTTAAAGGAGAGGTGTGAGTTTTCAAGCATTTAGATCCACATGTGAACATGATGCATTCAGCTCCAGCGAGTGCTGTAAAGTATGGGCATGCATGACAAAACCCATGAAACAGGATAGCCCTGGATTATTTTACCCCAAAATTATCCAAACAGGTGCCTCCGATGAGCTCACCAAATGAATGTGCATAACACAAATGACATGGAGGAAACACAAAAGCCCAATGCTCACTTTCTTCCACCGAAAATGTGTGGCTCCCCCAAAAGTGTCTAGTTTCACCATCTCCTCAGACATTTACGATTAATTCATTGCGCTTGCCCACAGGTACACTTCTTTGATTAGGATGAAAAACACTTTAATATTGTGTTGAATTCTTAAGAAAAAAAATGTATTTCTAAAGCCATTGCTGTTAAAATGATCTCTTATTACCTAAAAAGCACTGTTAGTCATATTGGTAAGGGGGGGTTTATTGGGGATCATTGAATATGCAACCTCAGGGCTTGAAAGAGGAATATCAAAGTCATGCGATACGATGCGGCATTCGCTAATTTCTGCATCTGAAAACCGGATATTTGAGATAGTCCTTTCATGCACCTGTAATGACCGTGACATGCTTCTAGATGGAGACAGGAGAAGGATGAATCTCAGGGGAAACAGAGAGGTTACGGCACTGAGTTATGGGTATATTGACATGCGACGTGACAAGCGTGTGCTAAATAGACCCTCGTTTGGCCCACAGGGTGAGATAGTCCCTTGGGACGAGGGGATGTGGAGACTGGGAACAAAGCGCTTGGGAACAGACAGAGCCGTCTATAGAATTCTTAGCGAGTGCCTTAGGATGTGTGCAACAGGACCAAGTGTGGGAAAGTCCACGGAGGAGATCCCTGCTCGCACAAAACTCACTGTACTACAGTTACCACACTGCACCTTAAACGGCAAATGTTTTCCCAAAACATTTTTGGAGAATATTCTGGCAAATACTGGTTAACGAAGACAAATGATGATGCATATTCATAAAAAAATAAAAATAAAATATACTTATCTAATACTAAAATGCTGTCAGTTGCCCACTTGACCATTTGGTGATCATTATTGTGGTCAAAGAAACCAGAAAGAGGTTTGTGTTTGCAATAAACACTGCAAATCTGCTAGATTAAAGCATTTATGATATTGTACTGCACATTCTAAGAAGTAAATAGTACACTGATGTTATATTTTGAATCATATTTGTTCTGCGGAGGATGGACGCTGCCATCTAGTGGCAAAACTACTGAATTAAAGGGATAGTTCAACCCAAAAATGAAAATTCTTTCATCCTGAAAGTTGAAACTATGAATCTGTATGAATTTATTTCTTCCGCTAAAAACAAATAATATGGGTAAATAAGCAGTTGATGGGCCCTATTGATTTTCTTTTTTTTTTTTCCATACTGAGGCCCATCAACTGAGCACAGGACATCATTTTTGGGTGAACTATCCTTTTAAATGGATACTCCACTTTTTTTTTGGAAATAGGCTCATTTTACAACTCCCCCAGAGTTAAACAGTTTTTAAAATAAAATAAAATGAGCCTATTTCCAAAAAAAGTGAAGTATCCCTTTAAGATGCAAGATTTATTTCTTTATTTTATCTATTTATCTATTTTTTTTTTCGCTGGAAATGTTGTTACTACACAACTACTCAACAAGTGAGTAAGGTATTTTATAAATTGTTATGTAGCTCTCTAACAGAGTTCATTATAAAGCATCATCTTTTGTGAAGAGTCATATTCATCCGCTCAGCCAAGAAAAGCCAAAGCGCAACTAAAACTATGTTCTTTCACAAAATGCATGCAGTTTTGTTTTTTAACGACGAGAGGGCCGTAGTGTACCTTTAAACAAAAGCATTAATGTGGTAGAGAAAATCCTCAAAGCTTTTCTTTTTGTCTCTTTTTGGAACAGATGTCCAAAGAGGATGTCCTTTTGTCAGTAGTTTTCATGTGCTGTACACAATGCTGTATTCTGTATATTACTGTATTACACAGCTCACAATGAGTATACGATCCAATACCTCAGTAAACAGTATGGTCCTAGTATGCAGAGCACCAATCACAGCACAGCGCGCTGAGCCTGATCTCGATGCTTAAGGGAGTTGACCTGGCCCAACAAAACGACAGCCAACATCTTTGTGTTCTTTAGTCCTGTCCAGCACAAGGACCATCTTCACGGTGGTCATCAGAAGGACTGTGCTGAAGTGCACACTCGGACAACCCCAAACACAGAGCCAGCATCGAGCTGGCGGCTTTCTCTGCATCACTGTTATCAGCTGGGATGAAACAGAAAAACACATAAAATAAGCTTTGTAGTTCGCTTATAAAACTAACTCGTATAAAGTCACATCAAATGATGAGAACATTTACAAGAACAAAACGGCCTTGGTTTCATCATGGAGGCTTGTTGGCTTGTTCACACCAAGGATGATAACTTTAATGATAAAGATATACAGTTTTAAAAATTGTTTGCGTCTTTTGTGTGTCAAATGAGGCATCCAAGTTAAAAGAAGCTCAAATTTCTCTAGACAGCATTACTAGTGTTATTAATAGCAAAAACACATTCTGTTCTTAACGTCAAGATGACCAAATGCACAGGTAACGTTCAGTAGGATTACAATTCTCACAACTCTAACCACTGATGTGCTAATATGCTAACATCGCTAAACATACCATTGCTGGAGAGTTCTCTCAGTTGTGATTGGCTGTTGAATTGAGCATCTCTTTGTTTCACAGGGGTTTTGCACTGGCTCTTATGGGTGAACCAGTGCAGCCTCTGACACGTCTGCCCACAGTAGACCACCTGCAAAGAGATGAGAAATGCGAATGTGAACAGTTATGTTTGCCTTCTCATAGGCTACATGCTAAATAGCAGCGCATTACTAGGCCTATACTTTGCGGATGGTCATTATGTAAGTAAGGTTAACTGTACAATAAATTGTTGTTAACGTTTGTGATTTTATTATTTGGCTGCAAAATGGTCAAATTTCAATATTAATGGAATAATGATATTTCATGATTACTCAAGGAAAGAGGAAACATACCATTTTACAGAAGGAGCACTTCATGTCGGCACCCCTGTCCCCACATGTAGCACAGTACTCTGTGTTCATAAGCACCATCTGGCCTGTCAACGCCTGGGTCAGAACCGAGAAGGCTGTGGGGTTGTTCCCCTGGAAACAAGAGTGAGGACACATTTTATAATTTGGCATCAGCCAGCAAGCTACATACATCTACACTACCGTTCAAATGTTTGTAAAAAAAAAAACAACAACAACAAAAAAACAGTAATATTGTCAAATATTATTACAATTTAAAATAACCGTTTTTTTATTTGAATACTGTTTATTTTAAAATGTAATTTACTGTATTCCTGTGATGGTAAAGCTGAATTTTCAGCAGCCATTATGGTCTATATTCTTCAGTGTCACATGATGATTTGCTACTCAAGAATTTCTGATTTCTATTTCTGATTATTATCAATGTTGAAAACAGTTGTACTGCTTACTATTTTTATGGAATTCATTAAATCTTTGGTAACATTAAGAATGTCTTTACTGTCACTTTTGATCAAAGGAGCCATATAAAAGTATTAATTTGTTTAATAAAAAAAAAAAAATTACTGACCCCAAACTTTAGTACGGTAGTGTATATAAAGTAATATGCTTTAAGAACATAATGATTCACATAGTGAATCACACAGTGATTCATTATTTAATATTATGATTAAATATTAGTGCTGTTAAATCAATGAATCGCGATTAATCACATTTAACATAAAAGTTTGTGTTTATATAATATCTGTATATGATAGATGCGATTAATCGATTTGACAGCACTAAATATTATATATAATGATATTATATTTTTACTGTTTATACATAACATTGAATCAAATTATACTATTAACAACATAATAATAATATTTTTCTAAATAAAAATTATATATAAAATATATATATTTATTATTAAATAAGTGATTCCACGTTAAATTTAAACTTTGTTAAATTAAAGATGCTTGTTTTTTATGATAGAAAAGTGTACTGACAATTTCCAAAGGTGCTATGCTTTGGACCAGCTGTTGCAGCAGGGTTGCTTCACAATAGGGAAACTTCCGAATACAATCCCAGATGAATTTCTCCTGGTACTGAGGGAAGCCATCGCCATCTCTTCCTTTCAGAAGTCTTGGACGGAAGAAAAGTATATCATTTTGTGACTCCATTTGCACGACCATCTAAGATGCAAGGACCATAATGATGATGTCACCTCTCCAAAAGGGCGTCCAGTTTGTCGTCACATTCCTGCAGGAAGGCCAGACACTTCTGCAGTATGCAGCTGATGTAGTGCATTTTCATGGCCAGAACCTCATTCTTGTCCTGCTGTTGCACGCACTGCTCACAGAGCAGATCCATCACATGGTAGCACTTCTCCAGGGCAACCACGTCCAGCAGCAAAGGGTTCTCCTTCACCAGCATCACCATCTGAAAAAGCATGATGGAAAAATGTGCCCCAAAATATGGGAAGTGAATATAGCAGACACTAGCCTTACTTACAATGCAAGTTTCATGGAGGAAACACGTTCTCTCGTTACATGATTCTGTTAACTGATCCTGCTGAGAGTGGCGCTGAGACACCTTACTCATCGGAAATCACTGGATGGGAGACAGCTGAGATAGCGCACATACAGATGCCGTCCGAGATTTAAGCATACACCCAAGTCTATACTAGACCCCCGTGTTTTAAACTACTCTCTACAGTTTTTACGAGTATTTTAGTATTTAGTAATATAGTGTATATTATATACTTATATAGTATATACCTGTGTATATATATATATATATATACTGTATATATATACACATAATATATATCATGTATATTAGGCTATATACATAATATTAAATGAATATTTTGTATTATAGTATAATACTAGTTAATACGACTCGCTGAAACATTCAAAGTTTTCATCGACTGTAGCAGGTCTTAAACACCGCCTGTGAACACAGACTGAACGCACTGAACATATGTTTGGGCATGATCAGTCATAAGTATCAAATTACATTCATAACTGGCCTTGGAGTAAGCGTGTCCCCGGC